ACTGGTGTTAGCTGTTAACAAATAGTGTAGATGTCAACAAATGTATTAACTATTAACAAATATATGTACCAGATATATTATCAGAGACATTAACTGTTAACAAATTTTGTAAATGTTAACCGATGTGTTAGCTGTTAACAAAGACATGTATTATAAGTGTTCACAAAGATGTTATTTGTTAATAAATTTTGTAGATGTCAATACATGCGTTAGGTATTATATGTTAAAAAATAAATATTTTTGAAATTTCATTTCTCTATCAAAATGATTAAATTTAAAAATCATTTACACATAAAATTGGATGAGAAAAAAATCAAGAAAAAATAGTGTAAAAAGAAAGAAATGAATGTGAAAAATATGTGTTGTTTAAAGAAAATGAATGTAGGAAAGAGATGAAGAATCGTTGGAGAGAGAGAGAGACTGTCAGATATAAGCAATAGAATTTTGACTTTTTTGTAAAAATATATGTCAGTTGAAGAAGGGCATTTTCGTCCAATACCAAACAAATTGTAAAAAAAATTGTTTGATCTCAACTCATAGGTAAGTCACTAATTTGAATCTCTTTTATAGGTATTTAGCTAATTCTCTCTAAATTATACAAGTAAACATAAAAACAGTAGAGGGCACTTCACCCCGTATAAACAGTTCTATATACATAGATTATACTGGTAATGTGATATTTCATATGGAACCAACTTTATTATGATCCTAGGAAATATATTATGGGGTACAATCTGATTTCTTAACAAAAGTAAGGTTAAAAGGGATTTGCATATAAAATTTTATACAGCAAAAAAACTGTATTATAATTGTTAACTAGATTTTGACCCACGCTTAAAAGCACGGAAATTTTTTATGATTAAAAATTTATATAATTGGGTTTTGTCTTAATTTAAAGAATATTTTGATATAAAATCAGTTCACCAAAATTTGTGATGATGATTGTTTTTCATTAGTTTTTAGTTTTACTTTTTATTTTTAGATTTTGTTTTTTGGTTTTTAGTTTTTAAGTTTCTACTTTTCTTTTTCAGTTTTTGGTTTGGGTATTTAATTTTTAAACCCGCTAAGTTAGTTGAACTGATATTACCAACAAACAAATCTCAAATAATCGAACATCTAATTTAAAACTGAAAAGATGAAAAGAAATTTAAAAAAAAAAATTGAAATAGTTTATTTTGTAGATAAACAAAGCAATAAAAAATATAATATGTGTTTTCATCTTTTGATTTTGGATTTTAGTTTTTAGATTTGGTTTTTAGTTTTGCTTTAAATTTTTTTAATTTGTAAATTATTTAAGAAAAATAAAACAATAAATTATTTAAAAGTTACAATTGAAATTTATCAAAACAAAGTGATTGTTATTTAAAATAAAAAATATATTAACATGTTTTAAAGTACATGATTTAAATAAATGATTAATAATAGATAATTTTGTTTTGTTAAAAAAATTAAATACCTTTTGGGTCTGAAAATAATAATTGATTTTTTGATCTTTTAAGGTGAAAAGTTTATTCAATTTTTTGGAGTATTTTCTTAATACTAAGCCCAAAAACCAAACTATATAATTTGTTCAAAAAATAAAAATAAGCCCAAGAATATAATCCATAAATAACCACTGGTTTAATTTAAGTATAATTAGTAGATTTCCATATTCCATATTTTGATGATATATATTCTTTTAGAATATTTCATACTTGTAGGAGAAAATATGTGTTTTCGGTATACACATAGATATCTGTTGTATTTTGAAGGTAATTTACATTAATGTCGTCTTTTTACATTAATTGTGTTGGTTTAATTTAAGTAAATACGGTTCAATCAATTATATGACTTATATTATTTGTAACATTCTAGAAATGGTCCAAATTTAAATGACAACTTGTATCAGTAGATAAAAAGAATGACTCTATTTTAATAGAATAGATACGGAGATATGGTTTGTTGGATATTTAGTGAGTAAATGGCTAATTTTATAGATACTAAAGTTTTGATCCAAGCTATGCGTGAGTTTTTTTTCAATATTTTTGTTTTTTTTTTACGAACAGATTATATATTTAATTTGTTATATTTATATAATCTTTGTTTATTAAGTTTGTTTATTCTTCCATATTATTTTTATATATTTTCCACTTTTTCATGTCTCATTTTTCTTTAAATAGTTATTTAATAAAGTATTATACTAATTTTGTTTTAAGAGAAGCAAGTTAACACGTCTCTGCACCAAAATTTGCAAGAATCCAAGTTCTTAAGAACTTCCTAGTAAATAAAAGATATGAAGCTTAATAACGAAAGGTGTAGGAACAAAGATGATACATTGTTTAGACAAATAGGTTTCTCATGGGGACTATTTCATGTTAAAAATCTTAACTGCATGCAGAGAAGACGTTACCATTTGTGTCAAAAAAAAGAAGTCTAAAACTCTCTCAACGAAGGGAAGGATCGGGATTTGCATAGTCAACATCTTGCTCGCCTTTTCTTTTGTTGGTGTCGTCTAGTGGTTGTGCGCCTACTTCCTCAGTCCATATACCTATCACTATCTTGATGATAAAGGTTGTCCCCTGGAAAGAAAACCACCCAAAGAATTAGTAAAGACAAGACTTAAAATGCTTCTCGTGGTCTGTAGTTAGCAAGTGGAACATGCCTTGCTTTGGTTGTTCTCCACCCTTAGTAGCTCTGATAAGTCGTCGTTCTTGTCTTGCATATTTCCCACCACGACCTGCTTTTGTAAGTGAATCAACAGGTGTTTAATAAACCATTTTTCCTAATTTGTGAAAGTGACGAAGCTGAAGATTCGTATTACTAGAGATTTGAGCTTCGCCAGAATGATTATGATATAAGATGCCTGTTAAGAGTGGAAGATACTGCTCGCTCAGCCATGGGTGCCGTTGGACACAAGCTAGACAACCAAAAAGGGGAAACCACAAATGAGTGATATCAGCCCACGGTGATTGGTATTCATGTAAATATGATATTTCCATGTAAACTTCTGATATTAAGCTTCTACCGCTGCCTCTCTTTGAAAAAATTTGATTCCATTTCATTATGGTGATCCTGCAATACAAAATTAAAAAGGAATAAGATACAATTTACTCCAGAAAGTATCATTAATTAAAAGACAATGTACATGTTAATCTAATTGGAAGATTGACTCCCCTGGATCCGGAGAAGAAGCAGGGGACTTCAGGTCGAAATTAGGGTTGACGTCGAAATTAGGTTTCGCATCTGGGATATCCCCTTCTCTGACAAAGCAGGCCAAGATAAAATAAATGACTAGGCCCAAAATTTTGAAATCGAAGCTCAAGCGCAGATTCATTCAGATGACATGGTAAAATAGAGTCTTCTGATAAGGGGTTTTAATCCTTAAGCAAATCAAGGTAGTATTTTAGATGTCAAAATCCAAGTTTTAAGTGTTTTGAAGCAAAAAGATTACAAGTTATGCTTAATATAAATGCAATCAGTTTAGTGAATGTGAAATGATTCAAGAACAATACAAAATGCAACAAGTAACAAGTTTTCTCTCAATTAGTGAAGATAAGACTCATGGAAGTAGGTATTTGATTTAGGTGATCAAGATTCGATCCTAAGTGACAAGCTTTCAATCAAGGTGTATTCCTTAAGTCTAAATTACTAAACTAAGCAAATTCTAGGTCTAGACAAATGCTCATTTACTTTCATCAATCAAACACAAATGGTCATTGGCTTAATCAATTTAAGCAATCATTAAGAACAAGTTTAATAACTATTTAAAACTAAGGTCATTGGCTAGGTGGTTTTAAAGCTAGAAGAGTTGGTTCAGACATTTAAACAAACACCTTGTGTGCAGAAAATGGCTAATGATCATGATTAAAGAGGCCAACAATAACCAAGCATTAAAATCACTCAACTAACAAGGAAACACCTAAATCTAACACCTAACACATTATATCTACCCTTGATCACCCTTACCAACCTATCCCATGAATCTAAAGTGTATCTACTCACTAATACACATGATAAACCTAACAACAATGGTTGATTGTTGGTTAAACATGGTTAGAGATCAAGATTACTCAACAAACTTAAAAAATAAGATGAAAAGAAGATAAAATTATGATCTTTCACCAAATAATACTTAGTTTCAGAGAGAAATATAAGATAATCCATATCATTAAGATCTAAAATGTATTTATAGGATCCTTAAAAACCCTAATGGGCTCAGTCAACAAGCTGAACATGTCCAACAAAACATAAAACTCGACTAAAGGAAAGCGCTGGAGCGGGTAGATGGGGTCGCTGCGCAACCCCGCTCCAAGAAGCGCACAATGTACAACGGGTAGATGGGGCCGATGCACTGCACCCGCTCTGGCACTTGAGCAATTGATTTCCTGGATGTGTCATGTCCAGAGCGGGGTGCCTTGGTCGCTCCGATGGACCGCTCTGGAGAGCGCATGATGTGGAGTGGCCCCTCATGGTCGCTGCATAAGACCCGCTCTGATGCACGTTTAATGTGGAGCAGTCTGCTACCCCCGATGTCAGATATCCACTCCGATACTTGGGCTCGTAAGATGATTATTCTGAGCTTTTCTTGAACCAAAACAACTTCAAACACTCTCATAAGCATCTTGAGGTACTGCAACACCTAATGAAGACAAATGCAACTTAATGATGTTTTTATGTAAATCTAGACACCAAAATACACAAGAAATGATTAATTAAATCAATGAAATTCACAAGACATCATTTTCTCATTGGTTGAATTTTCTGTCCTATGTGGCATAGATGAAAGACTCTTATGTCTGTGTTTTAATAGTGTTAGATTCTTTTTAGCACGTATTTAGTCATGGCAACATGGTATACTTGTGACTTGTCAGGTCTCGCTAGATAATGAAATATTAACATTCAGATGAACAAGGTCCGATGTCTAAAGAAAATGCTTGAACAAGGTCCAACTATATGTCTTCTCATTTCCGAATTTTGTATAAGATTTAATAGAAAGACCATCGCTTTAAATAGGAAAAGCCAAAAAAAATAAGAAGGTAGCATATTAAATTGCAAATAAGCCAAAATAGTCCAAGGAGTGTAACAAAGTAGAAAGTCAATACCCGAACCAGCACACTTTTCTGTTAAATCGGAGATTGGTTGAACCGATGAACAGGTAGGTACACAGAAAATGAAAAGTCAACACTATTACCTGGTGCGCTCTTGACTTTCCTCTATTCTTTTCTAGTTCTAAATACCATTTTGACCCTCCATAAAAAACAAAAATAACCTTAATTTCCCGTCTTACCCTTAACATGAACCGAACATTCTTAAAAGGTTTAACGTTATTTACCAAAATACTCTCAAAACATAACCGAATTACCTTTGAACCTCCCCTCCTTTTGTTTCAGATTCAAAAAGAAAGGGAGGTTTAGAGGTGATTGGGTTACTAGCTGATGACCTCTTGTTTGGCGACGTCATCATCATCTCCGGCGACGGCGCTGCTATTAAGGGCGAAAGTGATCTGATTAACGATGGAGCAAAGGTGGTTGTTGATGGTTGTGACGGCGGAGAGGTTTGGTTTCGCGGTTAGGACATTGCTAGCTAAAACCTGAATTCCGACAGTGAGAAGACACGACGGTGAAGGAAGGGAATTGACGGAAACACCCTCGACTTGATTAGGATAGTTCACGGGGACGATGGAGAACCCTAGGGGCAAAAGCGGAATACGGGAATTATCTTCTCCGTTCATCGCGTGCTGGATTGATTCGACGTCGACGGAGGAGTAGACGATTAAGCTGCCGGAGTTATCAATGCAGCTCTCTTGAAGCATAAGCTCCACGTTATGCCATGTGTTGCTCGAGACCTGTAAGTAAAGTAAAGAGTTATCAAAAAAAAAAAAAAAGTGTTTCAAAAAAAACAAAAAAACAAAAAAACAAAAAAACAAAAAAAAAACACTTATAAACGTTTTTTGCAAATTTAGGGTTTAAAAGTTAGGGTTTGAACTTACATTGATACGAAGAAGAGAGATGCAGTTTCCAGGATGTGAACCGTTGGCGATATGAGCAACTTCATAAGGTGAACTTCCACTGAACAAAACCTCCAACTACAAAGAAAGAAACATAAAATAGGTTCAATGCTGAAGTTAACTAAAAAAAAATGATGATGGGTTTGGTTTTACCAGAGAATGGTGATGTTGATGACGGAGAAGATCAAAGACTTTAACGTGGGAGAATGGAAGCCAAGTGGTTGAGACAGCAGCAAGAACAACTCCTGTAGGCTGACCAGGCTCACACACTTTCCTTGTCGTGATTCTCACAGTGTCCTTGGTTGTTTCAGACAGAGCGGTCCATGATTGTCCGTTTGAAGCGCTTATATTCACACAGAATGTTTTCATCATCCTCTGTGATAGCCTCATCATGTTCCTTCTCCCTTCTGCAGACGGTATCACTGTAAAAAAAGAAAAAGAAAACCATATATAGCTTTAGTGATGGTTTTATAAAATCTAGGGATATAAATATTGGTTTAGTATATAACTAGCCTCCAAGGTCGGTTATGTTTCTAGCCATTAGACTTGCGACCCTCTCGCATTGTCTCTCCAACACGTCGACCCAACGGCTAGCTCCAAAAGCCATTCCGCTTTTCACATACTCAGCGAATATCTCGTGCACGTGCCTCTCGTTTACCTCCGCGTGCTCTACCCACTTGACTTGTGAGTATCCATTAGGCATGTCTTGAATGATGCACCCTGAAGGTTTTCTCTTATACTCATGAAGAGTGTTTGCACTCAATGGCTGGATCTGGTCGTGGAATCTATCGATTGGGAAATCTACTATAGCCCAGTTCCCATTTTCCGCATTTTGTTCCACATAACGTAGGAAATAAGCTTCTCGAGTTGGAACCAGTGGAGATAGTACATGTAACTCTGCATACATCTAGTAAAACATAACAACATGTAGGTTCAGTTAGAAATATATGTTATGTTGGTTTTGTAAGTTCTAAATCGAATATACCAGTAGAAGAGAACCAGTAGGTCCAGAAACTCCAGATGAAATGATCTGAACCGTTTTGGCCCTAGCCACAATTGAGCAGAACATCTCTGACCACTTATCCTACATTTTTTCAAAAAAAAAAATCCAATATTTATCGAAAAATCCGAAAAATGTGACTAAAATGTGAAATGTTTAGCATACTTACAGCGTTTAGAAAAGCGTCAACAAGCGTGATGCTATTCATGATAACAACTGCGTTTGCCTTTGAAGCTTCTCTACGGAACTCTCCTTTGGTGTTATGATTCTCCATTGGCCATGGGAACAACTTCCTGTACTCTTCCTCGTTCAGACACAAAATATCTCCACCCATCTTGTCGGATTTCTTCTTAATCCACAAAGGCTCTTCTGTGTTGCACATTTTAGTAAGTTCTTGCACACAAGAGACGGCAATTTCCATAGCGATAACCTTTTCTTCATCCGCAAGTAACATTTTGTACCCGTTGCTGTTATTAATTTGAACTGGGAGGTAACAAGCAGTGTCTTGTGGAGGAAGCAACATCATGTCTGAGCAAGGATGTTCTTGAAAGTTTCCTGCGTATACGCTCATATCTAGCTCTAGTGAAGGTTGATGATTTTGAAGCTCCTGAGGAGGATTGATCAACGGCTGAGATGACTGCATCTCACGGCCAGTGTATCTTGAAGCTATGGCGCATAGACGTTCAAGCTGTTGAGAAGACAAAAAAAATGTGTTACACAAACACAATCAATATCTATCAATAAAAATAAATTGATTGGTTCAGTAAACCCAATCCAAACTGAAATATACCGAACCCAAGCAAAACAAATAGCCAACTCTTATTTAAATTCACAAAATAATTAAATATGTTTACCATTATGGTTTGGGAATAACTGAAGTTACCTCTTCCCGGAGGCGACAGTTCTCAATGTGGAGTTCGTTGAAAGGAATGTCTCCGAGTACGGTGGGGCCGCCACAAGAAGGACAGGAGAGGCACCGTAGCTCCGCCTGAAGATGAGAATTCTCCGCCTTGAGATTATCGTTGTCTGTCCTTAACATCACATTCTCAGCTCTGTCTTGTTGTGCCTATATATATATATATTTGAATCATCACATTTAATAAAAGCGTTAAATCATTTTTTTATGAATGTAACTTTACACAAATACTTTTGGAATTCAAGATTTCATCATTTTCTTCATAACTTTCATTTTCTTCATTATTATATTTCAAAACTTCCATGCTTTAATTGAGATGCCCTACTTAGATATTAATTAGATTATATGCACTAAGTATTACAACAACGTATACATATTGTGAAACTGGTTACATTAAAGAGAGAAAGATTAATGTTAGTAGTTATATACCTTCATTTGGGTACGCCTATTTTGGAACCAAAACTTGACTTGTCGAGGCTTGAGTCCAAGTTCATGACTTAATCTCTGCCTTTGTTTGTCGTCTGGATGAGGGTTTTGTTTAAACAATCTACAAAGATTAAATAGAAATCACTATTCAAATCAAAAGTCAATCTTCATCAGACTGATATATTTAAAACCTGCAAGGTGTATTGAGTTTGGTAAAAACAGATATAAGAAATCAAAACCAAGTTGTTGTTAAAAAAAAAAAGAAATCAAAACCAAGTCTTCTTTTTTCAAGATCCAAAAACAAAGAGCCTATATAATTCACCTTCTGAAATTTAGTACTTTAAAAAACCAAAAAATAAAATAAAATCACAAAACTTAAACCCATCTACAATTAAAAGAACCTTTCAAAAGATATAGTACAATCCCGGTTCAAAAAAATCCAACTAAACCGAGACTAATATAAAAAATTGTTCCATATCTTACCATAACTTACTTTCATATTCTTAAAAATCCAGAAAACTAAGAAAAACATATACAAACCGAACAAGTGTTAATCAAGATAAAAAAAGACTAGACTTCAAACCCGAAACTGAAACCAAAACCATTATAAACCGAGCAGAATTAATTTCAACCGAGTAGATAAAATGAAAAATGAGAGCGAAGCAAAAACTTACCCTTCCATTTCTTGGATCTGACGATTAGTATGCCTGTGGTAACGTTTTTTCTTGGCAGGAGGAGGTTGTTCCCCGTCTTGAAGTTCATTAACATCAAACTCGTTTCCAGACTTTGGATCTTCTGCTTGTTCACTACCCGACCCGAATGACCCACCGGCCGACCCGTTTTCCATCATTTCCTCTACTCCTCCATCTCCCATCATCATCAGCATGCTCATACTCATCATCCCATGCTCCTCCTTCTAATCAAACAGCTTGTTAATACGTTAAAAAAAAATATGTAACTACCAAAAGGAAAAGCTTTTAGTCAAACGTGGAAGAAACTTTTAATCAGGGACAAACCGGTATAATGGAGGAAAATGAGTTGTAAGGGACGAAATTAAAATTAGGGTTTTGGATTGTTGTCGGAGAAGAGGAAGTGGGAGGCGGCGAAGCAAATCTGTGGTCTGTGGTCATCACATTTTCTTCTCCCATAGTCAACATCACTTGCCGCCCCTAATGATTACAAAGATCGCAGTTAGGGTTTTCCTTTAAAAGCTAGAGTGAGTGAAGATTCAAAAGGAAGAATTACTCAGTGCATGGAAATGCAGTAATATTTGATGGTATCTTAGAACTAATCTCAAATGCAAAACCAAGAGAATGAAGCATGAAAGCGGAGATTAATTACCAGAGACGACAGCTAGATCGTTTCATAGTTCAGAAAATATTTCAAAATTAAATACACAAAACGTAACTGATAAAAACATTTATTGCTGGTGAAAACTTTAATTTTAAAATAAGTAAGAATAAACTGGTCAACTAATACAAATAACTACAACACTGCTATCTAAACATTTATGAGAAAAAAATAAGGATTGTGTAGTTTCAGTTTGTAATGTTTCTGGATCGAACTGTGAAATTATCTTTAAGAAGAGAAGAATAAACACACTACACAAACTAAATAAAGATGATACAATTTTTCTTTTGACTTTTTCTGTTTTCAACAAAGAAATAGAGATTTTTTTTTTGATCTTGTTTTCTCTCACTTTCTTACCTTCTTTAGCTTCAGAGAAAATGAAAGAAAAGGCCAAGAATGATATTCTTTCTGGAGAGTTTGGAGTTTTCTAACTTTCTCTCTCTCATTTTTTTTCCTCTTCTGATTTTCTTTCCCTTTGCAATAAATGGAGGAGTAAATTTCTCACTAAATACTTACCGGACTAGAAGGGTAAACGGCAGACTTCTGTTTTAACGGCGATAATTTAACGGATGAACAAGAAAAACGCTCGTCTAACTCTATCTAGTAACGGCTCCGTTTTCCCACGTGGTCATATCTTATTGGGAAGCATTACGTTTTGCCTCGAAACAACCGACCCCTCTAAAAGTCAAAACATTTTCAACCTAATGTCAAACTATCATTCGCCACGCGTTATCCGCGTGCGTCATATACACAGCATTACTCTACTTCACAAGTGTTGCATTATTTGTTTCTCAAAAAAGTTTTAAACATTTTTAAAATTTTTAAAATATTAAATGTTTCATATACATCAGAACGGCATTATATGTTTCTACTTTTTTTTTTTACTTTTGAAACCTGAAATTATAGTATCACTTATTCACTTCATACTAGGGTGACCTGCCTTCGGATTATTCCACTCAAATCCAGTTCAACAAAAATATTACTAAATGAATCCGAAATAAAGTTTGGTTTGGTACTTTGTTAGTTCAATTTTATTCATTCCAAATTTTTTTATTTTGGTTAGATTTTTGGATAAATTTGGTTAATTTCGTTTGGTTACTTGGATTCCAAATTTGACTAGTAGGATCAGTTCAGTTTAGTTTTTTTTGTTTGTCTTATTATAGTTTTAAAAAGAAAATTGAATATCTTGAATAGGTCTTGGCATTTGCGTCTTCGGATGTGGTTCGGATCGCTTCCTATCAGGATCGATTTCCTATCGGATCTAGATCCCTAAAATCAGATTTAAGATGTATTTATGATTTTTCAGTTAGGTTTCAGATCAGTTCTTACTGGATCCATGCCATTCAGGTCCGAAAACCAAAAACATGTTGAAAAACTATTAATTTTAGACACGAACGGGTACGGTTCTAGATTTCAGTTATTTTTTGGTTCAATTCTTCAATTTTTGGGTACTTCAGATCAACTGAACTCAAAACTCTATTTTTTACCCGATATTGTTGGATATTGTTTTCTCTTTTGAGTCATGTCAAAGCTCTCCATCTGATGGCGTGTTCGTCAAAAACTCTCTCCTCCGGTTTGGTAAGATTCTTTTATGCGAAGTGGTCTTAGTGAAGCGGAGTTTCTGGATTTCCTTCGCTCCCTTGCTTGGAGTCTCACAGCGGAAGGAGGCTCATCTATGCTCAAGGAAAGCGATAGATATTATCTAACGATTTTCCTCCAAAGATGAAGTTTCATGGCTCTTATGAGTCCCTTCTAGAAGATTCCGATTTGGAGGAAAGTTTTATTGCAGCAAAATTAGTGAAACTGATACTGAGGTTTATGCAGTAATGAGTTTGTATTCTTAAGGCACACTTAATAATAATTTGACGCCCAAATTATTATATTTGAAGAAGTTTTTGTTCCAATGAAACTTTGTATATTCTCTGTCTTTGTATTGGAGTTTCCACTATTAAGGAGAATGTATATTTCATGCTTCTTCTTCCTCCCCCCTCAAAGTATATCGTAAACATGAACAAGTGACTATAAAAGGAGAAAACTTAAATTGTTTTATGTTACCAACAGATTCTTTTCATGGAATATCTAGTATTATAGTTTATGACTTAATGTTAAGAATTCTTCAACAGGAAGACTGGTGATTATTAATGTCTAGGTACATAAAGTTATTGAAATTATCCTCAGATACTTGAGCATCGTTCTCACCTTGTTCACCTTAGCCCAGCACATCTAATCAAAGTGATTATGTTCACTACAAAGCTGTGGAATGCTATACATTGTACATCATTTCCAAAGGAAAAGATTGGATCTGCAATCTATATTAAGTCCAAGGCTTCAAGAGCAATTGAAAATATGTAATGAACAATTGAAAGATTTTTTTTTGTTAAGATGAATTCTTACGTAGAACTATCCTTGCAGAAATCATGAACTATTTTCCCTCAAAATTGTCTTTAACACCTCATTACTTCTTTAACAACATAGCAAGTAAGACAATTTTAATTAAGAGTATATGGAGGCATAGAGAAATGTTTCTACATTAAGTTACTCGATAAAGATGTGAATTAAGATGCCTTCATAGTGCCCTTTGCAGAGACTTGTAAGCATCAAGAACATATGGCGCTTGGTTTCTGTATGATAATGAGTAAAACCATCTTTAAAGAATATAGGTAGAACCTTTTGTCTTGATGGTTCTGGGAGTACAGTTTTGTGTTCTCCGTAGCAAGACCCATATAAGACATTTTCACCTCTCATGGTTTCAGTTATTCTGCTGCTTCCTCTCACTTTCACAGCTATCCCACATCTCCCAATCATTCTAGAACTTCTTAATCGTGTGTCTCAATTTTTGAGTTCATGGTCTATTCAGAAACATGAAGGATATATACATACAAAGTTAATTAGTTAAAAGAACATACAAATCAAGTTCACCCAAAATTAATATGGTTCAAGAGGCCGGGAGATAAATTATTTAGTCAAACAAATAGAAACTTTCTAACCTATTCAAAACGTAAACATAAATCTACATACAAAGTTGATTGTGAGGAATACACACTCTCATTGCTTAGTGTGGGAAATATATGGATATAGTCTTTCGATTGATTGGAAGGAAAGCATACATTTATATACCCATAGACACACCGCCTCTGTGAAGATAATGACATATTGATGCAAAGATCGTGTGTGAATGAGTTAAGAACATGGTAAATGCGTTTGCTCTGTAATTGAAGAAGTTTTGGTTGAACGAAAAGAAAGCGATAAGATGGTACGGGATCCAAAGCAAACTGAATTGTCAGGCCGACTTAACAAAAGCTTTCTCTAAGACGGCTGAGGACGGAGGCTGGGAGGAACCCTAATTGGCGATGGTGTTCGGGTTGCATGAAGCTTTGCTCATTAGCGGACTGGAAAATTAATCATATCAAGAGGTCCAAAAAATAGACCAAGCACGAATCAGTTGGTAGAACAGACCATGAAACGCAGAGTATTATGGTCTTTGACAGGTCACGCACAGGATGAGTGAATTAGTGACATGGTAGAGGCATGGCAGAGACATGAGAGATAAAACAGTTTCTTATATAAGTGATAAACAAAATATTCATATTTTTGTAATGTAAATGCTTCTCTGATACATCTAATGAAATTGATTCTCATGTGTCATGATCGAAAACGATTACGTTCGACTTATTTCGTTTACTATATAATACACTACCAATAGCTTGCCAAAAACTTACATATCCTTAGCAATCTTGGAGTAAGATTTTTGAAAGAGACGTTAGTGGATTCTTTTGAACTTTCATCAGTCGCATAACAAATCGTCTTTCTTCGGCAAATACAATAAACACATTTTTCATCTTGTTCATGATGCAACCAGTTGCTTCAACGTTAGAGATATTTATAGTTGAACTAATGTTGAACAGCATTAAAATATAATCCCATAAATCTTTTAGGCGGCCTTCTAGTTAGGTAGACTAGTTTTGGGAGGTATATTGTTGGAGGACCTTTGAAACCCTTTATGAGATGGCACATTGCTTAAGATATACTCCCTCTTTTCATAAAAAAAAAATGTCATTTTAACATTTTTCACACGTATTAAAAATGATTGAAATGTATTTATATTTTCATTAATTACACATGTTTAATCAATAATATTTGAGATAAATAGATTTATTCATTAGATCATTGAATTTTACAATTAATATTAAGCTGTAATAAGTATAAATTGCTTTAAAATTCTAAAATGAATTTTTGTGTAATAAGAAAAACAAAATACTAAAGCAACACTTTTTAAAAAAAAAAATAGAAAGACTATTGTATATACATAGGGTTGTCCATGATGAGATTGAGCAAGTTAGCTAGACGGCTTATATTTGTATCATTATGTACTAGCTGATAATTTAGTAGAATCAACCGGTGAAACATTCTCCACTTTATGCTGTATCTCGAGAAAAACAGTTGTACAATAAGATATTTCCCTCATCTAGTAGGTAAACTGATGACAAAGATGCGAAAGGCTTGAGAAATTTTTTGTGGCTCTTTTAAGTACGATAAATATTATAAATAGTCTTTTATTAATTGTTTGCAGATTTTATTGTTGTCACAGTTTAATATTAGTTATCACCACAAATTCAAGACTAAATACTATAATCATGGAGTTTTATAACTTTTTTCCCGGAATATGCACATTTGATTTCTGAGTTGAGAATGTCGAGTGACTTATCCAGGTACAGACACATCCACCATACAAACATGCGAGAGGCCCCGGACATGGTATCTTCACATTTTTGCAATCTATATCCTGATAACACTTGCTTTCTGTTGT